ATATATATATATATATATATATATATATATATATATATATATATATATATATATATATATTAATACACTAATACATAAAAAAATATTGATATAACAATATATGATCTAATAATGTAATCTGATAATATAATCTGACAATGTACCATCTTCTGTTTCGTATCTCATATAGAAATCACAATTTGGAAAATGTAATCTATGTTCACTATCTGGATCATCACCAGCTTCCCATTTCGTCAAAACGCCTCCACAATAGATGCATTCTACCTGTTATTTGTATGGAATGATATATAAAAGTGAAGCAATAATCTTGGACAAAATATACAGATATTTTCTAATTAATATGCTTGTAAGTCATGGTATTCCTCCAATGCCTTCGTATGAGGTATGAGACAAACGTTTAGTTAAAATCTTATCTTACAATTATATAAAAATGACTTAACAGTTGGCTTTGAAACTTTTTGATTTTTCATTTGTAACCTTTTAAATTATACGGTCGTTTTCTTAATTTCGTTAATATAACTTTTGTTAATACACTCACCACGAAAGTGTCACCACGTGCTCATAATAAGAGTAAATACGTAAAATTAATATGACTCACATTACCAAAAGAGAATGGGTAAAAGTAAGGTGACCAGACGTCCCGATTTTCCACCCTTTGCCCCGAATTTTTTCGAGTGCTATTCGGGACACCGATTTGCCATCACTTTCAATGATTGTCAAATAATTTTCGGCTCTTTTAACTCCCCTCCCTCGCCCCGGTTTAAAAGTGACATTTATGAAGTGTCCCGAATTCAGGGCTGGGAAATCTGGTCACCTTAGTAAAGACCATTCTTGATTTAAGAGATGGAATCTTTCTTATGTGTTTTCTTATATTTTTTAATGTGTTAAATCATTTGCAAACGTTATTTTCAAATTAAACTAATAGGAAAATATTAAACATTGCATTCAAAGTATCATATTTTCGTCGAAATTTGAATAAAAATTAAAGAGTACATAACATTTTTTATCTTTTTTTCTCTTCCTATTACCTTCTTCCCCAAACTTTTACTCTTATTTAAGGAGACTGGAAGGTCAGATTGCCTGAAAATCGTGCTTGTTCTTTCACAATTTTTTATGAGAATCTGAATAAATATGTGAAAGCGTTATTTTGACGTGTATTTATATAACATATAAAAAGAAGAAAAATATAATTTTGAGGATCAATATAAGAATCAATATATTTAATATAAGTGTATATATATAGTACATGCAGTTAAAATATATTTCGTTTTTCTTTTCAACATCATCATTTTGCAGTAATATCTTGACTCTCGGTGGTTCAATTATGCTGAATTTTAGGTAAAAAATTTCCGTAAGCTTGTCGTTATCGTGTAAATCACTGACAAACTCGTGAAAATATTTAATTATGAAATATTAATTTTTTTACTATAAAAGAATTGAAAATTTAATAATATTCCATTAAGGTATTTGCAATATTTTAACTTTTACTCAATTTCTATTATAGTAGTTCACACGATAACGACAAGCTTACGGAAATTTTCTACCTAAAATTCAGCTTAATTGAACCATCGAAAGTCAAGATCTTACTGCAAAATGACGACATTAAAAAGAAAAACGAAATATATTTTAACTGCATGTACCATATACACTTATATTTAGTATTTGATCATCAAAATTATATTTTTGTTCTCTTTATGTTATATAAATACACGTCAAAATAACATTTTCGCATATTTATTCAGTTTGTCATAAAAAATTGTGAAAGAACAAGCACGATTTTCAGGCAATCAGACTCTCCAGTCCTCTTAACTTAATGGCCTGGTTTACATTATGTACTTGACATGTACTAAATAATAACTTTCTATTAAATAATCTTAATATCGACGATATTAAGCAATGGTATATTAAGCTGGTATAATACTTATCAAGAAGATATATCGATTGAATGCGTCGTCATTGATATGCATTATCAATATTAAATTATTTAATAGAAAGTTACTATTTACGTGTATCAAGTGTACGATATAAACCAGGTCAATATCACCCTGATAACTCCACTGAACTATATATATATTGGAATGTTTAGTCAAATGGGAAAAAACGGGCCGAATGAAAGGAAAAACAGGGGCCGTTTTCTCTCTTTCTATTGTTATACCAGAAAGAAGAAGGAAAGGCGCCATGGGCCAGTTTTAGATGATCCCGATTTCAGCTGAAATAGAGTTACCATTGAAATATATACTATCTGGAACGCGCATTCGTATGTACTTGACCGGAAAAAAACTCCGATTGGAAAACTATTCTTTTAAATCGTTTGTATTTCGTATGAAGAGCATTCGTTTTGAAATGCAATTGAGAAGATTTGTGAGTCATTCTATTACTTGTAATTAAATGTTCTTTTTTGGATCATGTATTTAGCCGGAAATAATGATCGGAGGTAAATTAAACAAAGGTTCGATATGGTATCATTTGTATTTCGTATAAAGAGTTATGAAGTATCATTAAAAAGGTTTGTGAGTCATCCAGATAATTTTAATTAAATAGAGTAAAGGCACCAAAAGCGACATATCACATTGTTTTTTAAGGTTATGTCTTAATGTAAAGCTCAAAATATAAATGTAAATATATATACATAGTTGGAAGTAATCTCTATCAGATAATATCACACTTTTACTGAAATTGTTTCTAGACAAAAACTCTTAAAACAAAAAATGTTTTTGTAAAACGCACGAAAATAGAGTTTCTCAGCCTCTAAGAACTTCCACCAGCTGACCATCTCGTTCCGCCGCACACTCCGTCCACCCGGCCCGCCCAGCTTGTCTATTACATAAATTATCGTAGCGATTTTTTTTATGTTTAATTAAGATAAATTTAAATGTATTCCAAATTTTAGAATTTTATCTTTAATAGTTCCTTTTCTATAAATTCCAAAAAATTACCCATTTTTCCTGGCCAACAAAGTAGAAACCCTCCTTAAGACGCATAATTCATGGAACATTTTAGTAACTTTTTTTTTATGAAATATTGTCAAAAATACTCTAAATAGCACATTTATAAGATTTTAACTGCCCGATCCTAAGTGGTCCCTATTAGTGATATCTAAGGATTAAGCGAATCTTCCCGCAGCGACTGGTTAGATTACAATAAGTTAGGTAAATGAAATTGTACTATTCTGTCCGGTATAAACCTAATTTCTCCGTTCGGTGGGCTCTTCTGGTCAGATCCGACCAACCGTTTATTAACGTAAATTTTTCTTGATTATTTTTTTATTTATTTTATTACTTTTTTTACAAAATATTCGTCAAGTTAATAATTATATTGTCATAAACAATAATAAGGTAATTATTCACTTTAGAGGAGTCAGCTCCGATGACCTAGACTTTGATATACATTTGTATATTATAGAGATCATCTTCCTGAGTAATTCTTAGAAAGTTTTAACCGTCACTCGTTGTTTATTAAAAAGTTATTAAACAAAAATTTTATAAACGGAACGTAATTCTGGTACACAGTATACATTAAAATATGGTAAACAGTACACGTATATGCGCGGGGAAGAAGTTCCGTTCCTCTCCCTCACCCTTTCTCCAAAAAACTAATTCTAACCTAACCTATTTACTGAAGTATGGTAAACTGTACACGTATATACGCAACGCAATATTTACATTTTTATATGATAATTATTCAGTTTAGGCCGCTCACCTCCGATTTCGATGAAAGTAGTTTCAATCGATGTGTTTTTGCACGAGAAACAACTTTTTTTTATTTGACAAAATCGTCATTGTAGAGTCAAAGTAGACAATCAAAGTAGAGTGTTCTCTACTGGGAAGCGAGATATTAATTGACAAAGTTGACAATGTGTTAGGTTAGGAAATCTGTCACACCGACGATATGTCGGTCTCTAGCCGTGTAACTGGGGAGCTACATCCCTCAGACCCTCCGCGCCGCGGCAAGGAGGCGCAGTCTGTTGTTCTAAAGCTATAAACAAAAAGTTATAAAAAAAAGAAATTTCGCAAATACGGTATAGTTTATTCACACTGTATTTATGAAATGTATACCTTAAAATGTTATGAAAAAAGATGTATTTTTTAAAGAGTAAGAATTTCTTACAAAAGGTCATTCCTTCCCCCACCGCGGTGCGGGGAGTCTAGGAGACGTAGACTCCCAGTCACACGGTTAGGAACAGGCACCTTTTTTATTAATACATGCATATACATGTACTGTACGTATGTATATGTGCACCAGAACTGGGAAATCTTGCCCGGGCGCACTGGCGTTTTACTCCTTCCACTTCTCACACGGAGACTCTTCTGTCCGTCCGTGTGACTTTGCACGGCGCGAAGGGTCTCTGTGTGAGAAGTGGAAGAAGTAAAACGCCAGTGCACCCGGACAAGATTTCCCAGCTTTGATATGCACATCAATCTATGCAGTGTCGCAAAACTACATTGCATTAATAAAACTTTTTTGCTAATAATTTTTTAATAAATAACGAGTGACGGTTGGAACCTTTTACTCAGGAGAATGGAGAGGGTCCCGATTGCCTACAAATTAATTGCTTACAGTATCGATTGCTGATATTCAACTTATCCACATTTCATTTGCACACAAAAATTATTGCCATTAGTACGATTACCTACAAGCTCTATTACGCACAAATAAAAAATTAAAAACCGAACGCTCGTTTATATTTTAGTACATACAGGGTGTTCAAAAAGTCCCGGACCGGTGAAATATCTCGAAAACTAAGCATTTTAGAAAAAAATGTTTCAGATAAAAGTTGTGGCGTTTAAAAAGATGTTTTTACTGATCACATCAGTTTGACCTTGGGTTGCGTAGCGAAGGTCAGGTCAAGGTCACAATGATGTTTTTAAATGGATACCCCCATTTTTTATTGTATATTCTTGTAGCTCATCTCGAGAGCTTTCCAAAACACTATACTTAAGTATTTTTTCGTTAAGTACTTTTCGAGTTAAGAGGCTTCAAAGTTACGCTCTTTAGCATTAGCGCGCGTGGATACCGTAGTGACGAGCACGAACGCGCGCTCGTATTAATAGTAAATAGCGTAAGGCTGATGGCCTAAAAAACGTAAACGCAAGGGCAGCTCTCGTTTACCGCGCTTGTGTTTACGTTTTTCTCTGCCTTAGCTTACCTTAATCGGCCGGATATGATTTTCCTCTTGCCTTAATCGGCCGCGCGCTAATGCTAAAGAGCGTAACTTTGAAGCCTCTTAACTCGAAAAGTACTTAACAAAAAAATACTTAAGTATA